TCGAATACATCACTAGAGAAAAGACGCATTACAAGGATGAGTTAAGTTGACTTGTTTAGTGGTGCGTAACCCTGCATTTTGTGATTTGAGGAATAGCCATTTTTTCACAAAGTATTACTTGTATTTAACTATGTACAATGTCACATTTTTTTTAGAGTTTTACCGGTGCATTTACTATGTCAGATATTTGGCAATCTGAAGGTAGCAATGTCTAGCCGGAAACAAATCCATAGTTCACTTTTCGATGTTATAGACCCCACCAACCCCTTCAGTATGTTACGTAAGTATTACATGCCATGTATAAATTTTGCTATAATACAATTTTTTCAAAACCTTAGTTTTGATAAATTGTCAAAAAACCCTGTTACTATGTCGAATAAATATATCCTAAAGCTCTGAAGAGACAAATTTATTTTGACTTAGTTTTAAAAGAAGAAATCAAATTAAATAATTCCAAATGAATGAAATAGACTTTGATCCACTTGGTATTTACTTTCCTCCTTTTAAATTGTGTTATATGATAATTATTATGAATTTTGTGCAGCATATGCCTTTCAGTGAATGTTAAAAAAACACTGTTGTTCAAAGGACACTTATGTACTCTATTTCTGAGCTGATGTGGTATGATGTCTGTGTTAATAATGGAAGATTATATGCAACGTTTCGTCCGGCATTATTTATTTCAAAATCCTGAAATTTACACACAGTATCGATGCATGGTTCTTATACGTACTCCATTTTTCAATATTATCTCCCTAAACGTGTAGAGTCTGAGGCCATCGTTGCAAAAGGGCCAGCACACTTTGGTCATACAATTATTTTTTCCCGGTGACGTAACCATCCGTTCCCACCATGGATTATACCGACGTCTTCTTTAATTGGCCCAAAGAGAAGGAAATCGGAGTTCTTTAAATCCTGACTGTAGTGCGGATGGGAAAGCACTCTCCAACTCATTGTTGTGCGCGCACTCGTATAGCGACACTTGTGGTTGGATGTGCAAAACAAATTTTGCGCACAATTATTCTGGGATCGAACTCGATGTAAACGCCTATTTGAGATTTTTAGAGTTTTGATGGAGGGATTTGAATTGATGGTGGTGCAATTGGGGAAATACATCCACATGACAAACTTCAATATCTCAATGGACAGTGATCATGCATTTCCAGCTGACGAAACCCTTGATCTTTTCTTCAATGGTGAGTGCGGTGACACCATTCTAGAGAGTGTTGTGTAAACGCTCGCTAAGGCGATTACATCTTGTCGCTGGAATTTTGGATTCGCGCTACTACCCACTGCTCCGTTTCAGCACGAGACGGATGAGAACGTTTCATTGCACAACGAGCAGTTAACGCAAAATTCTACTCCTCAAAGGAAACAGCCAATTGCAAATTTTCGAGCTTTTACATCTCTTGAACTAAAGAAAGATTCGACCATTTTGTCACTGTCCATCAGGAGGAAAAGACCGGCGTACGCAGTTATAAGGAACAGAATCCAATGTGGTTGTTCCAGAATCAAGAAGCTCGAAAAGAATAAACGTAATTCCAAACGTTTTGCCCCAGGTGACACCAACTGAAGCTACGCCATTGATAGGTATTGTGTGTTTTATATCAGTATTTTTCTCGTATATTCATTGATAAAGTAAACACTGAAGTTTGGTCAATTTAAATTAAAGACAATAGAATCAGATTAAAAATTATGTACAACTTTGGTTAGAATAATATATGGTGAATTCTTGCCTCAATTGGTACTAGACTGTTTCTTTAATTTTCCTACTTGACCTACGAATCCTCTCATCATGGTCGTAGTTTATGCATATGTTAGACTGTGCATATTACGTGACATCCGGTAATCGCTTAGATAGCGCATATGGAGCATTCATCGGTACTTGAATCATCGGGATCAGGATTTTTTCTCGAGTATATAAAAAGCCGAGGAGGCAGATGTTTATTTTCAAAGTGATGAACCACGTTTCATCCCCTGCGATTATCGTAGAGAAAAAAAGCAACACCCTCAAGAGGAAATCACTCCAGCAATTCTGAGCAGATTGTCTTCCTATGGAGTCTGTGATCTGCTGTCAGATTATTTGGCTGGCGAGCGCTCACTTCATAGTATCCGAGTTTCATATTGAGCGCAACAGCAATTCCTTTTTTCTCACCGATGGCTGTAGGAGCATTTTCTCTGTCGTGACGCTTCTTCCTGAGCCAATGATAATGAAACGTCGTAAAAGTTTGCTCTGTCCGAGAAGTCCGGGGACCGTCGACCTGGCCACGGGAGGACCTCAACATGCTCTATGTAGTTTATTAGTGATGTGTGTTGGCGTGCGTTATCTTGTTGGAACACTGTCTCAGGGTGCTGTGCCATAAGTGGATGGGACGTGAGGACTCAGAATGTCTGTGACATGTCTCTGTGTCGTCAAAGTCTGCCGAGGCACTGTTAGAGGTGAATGGAACGCGTATCCGATGGACCCCCTCACCATGATGCCCGGGGTTACGCCTGTGTGACCCTCCGCAATATGGGCATGATGTGCCCTGTGCCCTTCACGCCGCCGCACTTGAACACTATGGTCATCGGAGGTTATGGCGAGGCTCATCACTGAACACGCTGAGACGCCATTCGTCTTCTGTCCATGCCTCCCGGGCACCAATCCAAACGCCGTCGTCGGTGTTCTGCTGTCAGTGGCAACCGACGCAAGGGTTGTGGGACCCCAATCCGGCGGGTGCGAGTCGTCGACCCACTGTGCAGGAACCCACAGGTTGTTGTAGAGTCGCCAGTACATGTTCGTGGTTCATGGGATTCCGCACTGCTTGGCGCACCATACGACGGTCCTCCCTCGGGGTGGTGTTTCTCGGTCGAGCCGCACCTGGACGACGTGCATGCGGGCTCTCATGGTCCCATTGATTCCAACAGCAGGTCACTGTGACACCTGAATGACCCACATGGCTTGCAATTTTGGCACAAATTATGCCTAACATTGGGGGTTCAAGGCAAAGTAGCCGGAGGCTACTGTCTAGCGCGGTGAACTCTATTCTACTCTAGGCAGCCCCCATTTGTGTTGATGCCTTTGGGATCCGGTCGTACGCCCACGGGGCAAAGACAGTGTATAGAAGGTCCGCCTTGAGGGTGGCCCGGCGTCTCGCACGGTATCGTATGACGCTGTGTGTGTGTGATAGCTAGTCATACCCCCTATAGACCTCATGACACAAGAAAGGGCCAGGCTCTACAGGCGTAAGTGCGAGGGAGCTACAATTAGGAGTGTCATCGTGAAGGGAGGGACGTGACAATGTCCACTGGCAACGGCGATGGAATGTGTCATCCACTGGTAGATGGTCATTTCGTCTCATTCCAGACGTAACGATGTGGACTCAAAAGAAACACGGAGACGTGCATCATTATTTGACCCAGTTGTTAACGGGGCGTGGGTACATCCGTTTCCGGTTGGAGGATGACTTCTCATACCCACCCTGTTACCCATTGGTTGAGGATATGAAGCACGTATTCTTTGACTATCGACGCTTCGCTGTGGTAAGGGAAGAACTCCACCGACTCCTCACGCGGGTAGTAACTCCTGAAACCATCATCACTAGGATGCTGATATCCCAGGAGAATTGGAGTGCGGTGGCCAGCTACGCCGCAAAAGCTTTAAAGAATCTTCGGGTAGAAGAACGACTGCGAAGGGGACATCCGTTGGTATAGAGTGACAAGCCGATCTGCCCATCCCGTGATGCCTGACGGTGGTTCCGCGGGAAGGGAACCGGAGGACTGGGAGGGGTTTTTAGTGGGTAAGGCACAGGCTAACTGTAAATCCCACACGCTGCGGAGTGCGAGTTCCGCAGTGTCTGTAGAAGATTTTCCCCGGCCCTCGTAAAAAATGCCTCGCCATTGCACTGTTCGGCCGACCAGCCTCATGGAGTCCCCCAATGCGGCCTCTGTCAAATGCAGTCAATTGGTGGACAGGCTGTCCAACGCGTCTAAGTGGCATCGCAGGAAATTCTTGCTGTACGTAAAAGTCGTTTTTCAGTGTGACTCACACCTGCTCACTGACAGGGCGCTGACATCACGAATGCACTCTGGTGGGCGTTCTACACGTTACAGATAGGTGTGAATCAAATCATTTACTCACACATCAATGGTACGCATTTGTACCGAAATTGGATAACATTGGACCATTCCTTCTGGGAGCATCACGTTTTTGTCAGGCAGTGTATTTTACACATCGGATGAGTAAAATAAATAGTATGAATGAAATAGAATAGAATATATTTTTTGAATGAAATAATAACAATATTAATAATAAAATATCATACTTTTGAGTTTATATGTTAGAATTTAAATCGTAGTTTGTATTATTATTACTATTTTTATCAATATTATTAATATTTGTATTTGTATTAATAATATTGCTCTCATTATTATTTAAGTTCGAATTACGCGTTAAATAAATTCAAAGCTACGACAAAAGTTGCATGCTGCACTAAAAATCTAATACTAAATCAGAAAATCTGAAAAATGCAAGGTGATTATAATTAAACATTTGCTACTTAATCGACTCTTGTATAAGGAAAAAACAATCGATATGAAATTTTATAGATCATAAAAAGAGCTTCCAAATGGGGAGAAAAAAGTCAGTCAAATACGTGCTGTATTGAAATATACCTTGTGCATTTTATGGAATCGTAGAAACCGATCTATACAGCTACATAAGACTCAGTAGGCTCTCCCTACTCACATCAGCTTTGATATTTGTTTCGGGGACATTTTCTTTCCATGAACGAATACTTCCCAATTTACGCTGAGGAGCGTTATATTAGCAATGAGCAAATACGCAAATCTTCTAGGCCTTAATTTATATCTTACTCTTGCAAACTTTGATATATATACATTGAAAGTACATGTTTCTTTAGAATCGTTTGAGTAGCGAAAGTTTAACTGAGAAATAGAGAGAAATGCGGAAATGTATTAAAAAGAAAGTGGGAGTTTTCTCATTGGCAATTCAAAGTTACCTGTAGATGTGGAGACAATTGTTAGGCTTTCTTGTCTTAAGATGTTAAGTAAATGTTCTTTACTATTCTGTTGATCATCTATAAAAGAATTTTCTAGCTCGCTCATTGAAAAAGCTATATCCTCTTCTGTTACCTGAAAATAATAAAAACAAATTAATTTAATCATTCTCTCTTCACCAATCTATATTAAAGCAAAATGGCATGTGGAAAAATTTGTGCTATTTATGAAAATATTTCGTCTACTTTTCTAGGCATTTGGATTTTTCAAGGACATCTGTCTGTATTGCGCCTGACAACTGGTACGTTTCTTTCGTCAAGCAACAATGTCATTAGTCAGAGGTATTCATTCATACTAAATTCCGCAGGCAGCGTGTTGACCTCCAGAAAAAATATTAATATATTTGTCTTCATTTTAATGAGTAGTGAAATCAAGGATTAAAATAACATATCTTCAAATTTATTTCATGCATTTTGAAATGCATTTCATGACAACAATCGCAGATTAATAGACAGGAATACTAGGTAAAAATAATGGGATTGAATGATTTATTGCACAATTTAAATGAATATGGACTTCTTCCAAACTAAGAGAATAACGGACAAAGTGAATCTCTAGGGTAGTCACTCGAGCTTCATGTAAGGCATTAATGGCCACCACCGACCGTTGTGTACTCTATCAAAGGTTTCATTGAGACACCATATTTCATCGCCATGGTCATGATGGTAGATAGCTGATGGTTAATGATATTCTTATTTTAGTTGGTACCAGTTTTGGCCTTCTGCGTTTACTAAGGTTGTGAGTGGAGTTATAACTTGGACCATTATTTCTAGTGCTTGATGTGACATTCTTTCTCTTGTATATATAATTTTTTTGAAAAATTTCTGTAGTTGTTAGTAGTAAACAACCTGATTCTGAATGGTATAGATAGATATCTCCATCTCTCCTAATAGATGTCCATCCAAATTACAATGCATTTGATGCAATTGATCTTGATTTGCATTTACCAAGGAAAGAGAAACTGTTGAAGCTTACATTTGCATGATTGTATTCTGTTATTAATTGTTCCCCCATTCCGATTGTTCTTTGTATTCCCAAGGTTAAGCGGAGTGTATTCTTATCACTGGCGGAAATAGCTTTGCTCATTTTAGATGATTCAGGTAGAAAGTATTTTAAATGCTGTCACTTGTATATTGCACAAAATTTTGAAATACAAGAGGTTTATAGGACCTCGATGTATTTGGTGAGCATTGTGTAAATCGTAACATTTAGATTATCCGATTTCGTCTCGGGCCAATGAAATACGCAAAAGAGTACGTCATTAACCAAATACATCGGGAGTTAATGGCTTCAGTATTAGCAATAAGACCTATTTTGAAGATTTTTTGAAGGCAGTAGTTGAATGTGATCTCTAGGCACTGTTTATTTCGTTTTCTAACCATTACCAGGCTTTTTCTGGATCCCAAATATTTGTGCATACGCAACGGCCGCAGTGATTGGATTGCTGGATTCTTTTCCATACCTGCCTCAGCTTTCGTGTAACACCACAGTAATGTAGGACATTTTCTACAGCATGTATTAATATATTGCATATACAGTATTATGCATATAATATATACAACATATAAAAAGCATATATAAATATCGTTGCTGAATTGAAAATGTTATGTTTAATATGCTTGTTATTTACTAAAAACAGTCACGCCCTTGCAAGTCGTCGAGTGTCGCGACACTAGATGTCACACGAAAAGTATTCGTGAAAACGACCCTTAAGAAAAATACATTACTCTTTGATCACCAATAAGTTACAATTGAAGACCATTCCACAGTAATCTCACAGTCTTGTTTAACTGTGATGCCGACCAATACCAACTTACCTTCCTTGGTTGGCGTGGGATTTAAGCGTTCGTTGAGTTTCATTATGGACTTCTCCGTCGCTAGATTTCACTTAATTGTGGCAGTAAAAACAGAATGGAAGTTCGTTTTCTACAGTTCAGAAGTTTCATAGTGACTATCTGCATCAAATGCCAGAAAGACCAGAATTCTTGTTATGTTATGAGATTCATGTAGACATCCATATTAATGATTATAAACTGTTACATTTTATAATTAATCGAAATATGCTTGAAGCTCCTCTCATCGCCATAGCGCTACTTTTTAATTATTAATGTAAAAATGACATTTATGTAAAATCGACTTCTCGGCCATCTCTATAAGACTTCCTGCTAGTTCGCTGAAAATGAGACGAGAACTATTTTTGCCGTTCATATGTACAAACGAGGAGAACATTTAAAGAAAAAATTGGAGCCGTTTCTCAGAAAAAAAACGGTTTATCAAAGTACAAATTGCTTACGTTTCACGTAAAATGACGCCGAACTATGTATATGCTTGAAAAAGTATACTTGACCTATTTCAAGATGCCTTTTAACAATGGATTTCATTCACGAAAACATCTCCATCTTCTATGTTGTAGTTGTAGGAAGACGCCGAAGAAATTTTGAACTTTTTCAATTTTCGAAAATTTAGCAAAAACGAGACCTTCACCAGCGTCCTTTACGCTAGACGAGGACAAAGTTTAATAAAAAATTGAACCATTTATGAGAAAATTTTGAAAATGTTGTTGAGGAGTAATATAAAGTACCCCTCAAAATCAAAATATCCTTTTCAAACTCAGAAGGCCTCGAATTAATTTAAATCGATTGGGGACTTTCGATTGTGAGAAAATCGGTTGAATACTTTCCGCGCTCGCGTTGACCACAGACGGACAGACGTTTTGCCGCCAATTTATTTTTCGGTATCAAGGACCCACAAATCATGGATTCGGGCAATACAACATCTTCTAACAGGTAATTTACTCTATATTGGATGTATTCAAGATTTATTCACTTTTTCGTTACCAGGGCTCGGCAGTAAGACAGACCTTTTTCTGTTTTTCTGTCCAAAATTCGCAGTTTTCCTGCACGGTCTCAATACTTTCTCTTGTTACGATGTATAGACGAAGAAGTAAAAGATAAAAACGTCAATAAGATTATGTAGGTAGTGGAATAGCACGTTCAATGAGCAACTGAAAGTGTAAGAATGGCCCATCCGCAAACCAGAGAATTATTGTATTCTAAAAATTAGCTGGGCGACTATTTACGTAGATTGAAGGACGCAAATATTTTTAAGTTTCATTAGAGGACTTTGACTAAGAAATTATTAGTGGTGAATATATCTTTAGTAGAGCCAGACACAAAGACATTCAGTTTCGATCGTTCTCGGCTACGAGACCAGACTCCCATGTCCGAGAATGCTAGTTCCGGCACTGTCATTATCGAGAACGAACGTTACTGAGAGTTCCAATCCTTGAAAGGGACCTACTTATAAATTTCACATGTAGATAAAGAGTACGCACACTCTTCGAGACTGCAATACTATAATGCGTTTTCTCCGACTCAACCTTTAGTGTAAAATTACCTTTAGTATAAATGGTTTCGAGTAGTTTTCGCGTAATTGTGCCCGAAATATCTAGGCAATTTTATTTTTTTAACAAATTTTTCAAAACTACAAAATTGAAGATAGAGATTTTCGTTTTAGACAAAGTCTGTTTCAAAAACTCAGCTCTTTCAAAAAGATAAGGTACACGTTCTGTAATAAACGAGTCGTTTTCGCGTAATTTTTGCTTTAAATTAATACAATTTATAAAAATCATTTTCCTAAACACGGCTTCAAATTTTTTCTTCAATTTTTTTCCCCACAGATAGAAGAAGGGACGCTTAAAAGAATGATGTGGATTTCATTCTCGTTGAACTCTCTGAATTTTCGAGTTACAAATTGAGAAACAATGCGAGAAAGCATGTGGTGTTGTAGCGCCACTAGTTCTTCTTTGATAAGGTAAGGTGTTCCTCATTCGTTGTTTCCGACTTTTATTATTACAATCTTTCCTAATCCTAAGTGATAGTTTGAATGTGCATTCAGACCATCTGACAGGTTCTACATAAATATGGGTATCACAAAGGCCATTTGGCAATGCAAGGTGTCCAGGGAGGAAACGTCAAAACGTCGAAAATAGCTCTTGAGACAATTTTAAGGATGTTTTGTCTAGTAAACTTCTAGGATATTTCCAATGGCTAAACCGCAACAAGCACTCAAAAGTTGGCTTGAAAATATATTTTCTATGCAAGAATTTCATAAACATATAAACACTCCAAGAAATGTAAATTGTTTATTATTTACAAAAGATATGAATATATTTGTTCAGAAAGAAAAATGAACACTGTAACACAATAAAAGAAGCAGTCGAATTGTGTAAATTAGGTGCTTTTTTATTTATGAGTTAATTTTTCTTTCTGAACTAATATATACATTTTTTTGTAAATAATAAACAATTTGTATGTTTTAAAGTGTTTATTAGTTTCTAAAATGCAAAGTTTTGCAAAGAAAATATTTTTTTCAAATCAACTTTTGAGAGCTTATTACGACTCAGCCATTTAGAATATCCATGGAGTTTATTAGACAAAACAAGCTAAAAATTACCTTAAGTGTTTATTTTCGAAGTTTCGACGTTTCCTCCTTAGACACTCTGTAAAAAGAACCGTATAGAAAGAATCAGTGTTGAGTATGTGAAGAAGTTACAGGAGTTTTGGTACAGAGTATAACAATGTGATGAATCATATGAACTTTTCCGAATCCGATAACATGATCTAATTATGGAGGAAGGTAAACATGTAAGACAATATCGCTAATTCAACGCCCACAGAACATCTACAATATATCACGGCTCTACGCTGGTTAACGAAGTAGTCAAAATACACGTTGTTGCACAGTTGACAAGTTGACGAATTATGAACCAACGTATCTATAATGATATTCCCCAAGCCGGAAAACGAGTGCCAAATTGTCGGGGTTTCATGCTTTCACAAGGTAACGACTCCAAACGTCAACAGAGATTGGTTGATAAGGAACATTCCCAAACAACAGAAAACACTGGTTCACAGTTCTTATCTCAATCAGATTGAGCGTACAGAGACAACATTAAAGAAGCAAATGCATAAACACAATTGTGCACCTAAAGAAAACCTGAAAGGAGCAATAGATTTAGAGTGGCAGAGGATTAGTTTAGACATCTGAAAAAGCTCTAAGCCTAGATGACGTGTTGCCTCCAGGCTCAAGAGTATGCATCACGGTATTGTGCAGTGTAATTTAGTAACGATTAGTTATTAGAATTGCCTGTTTTTCAAAAAATTGTTATCAGAGTACACATGTTAAAATGTATTTTTTTCTGTACTTATCAATAAGTTAGTTCAATATTGATGGATTGTAAAACAGCAATTACAAACTTTGTACTTTTATGCCATGAGAAAAATATACTGAACATCATTTTTAATTTTGCCCTATTTTTCTCCCCATGCCTATGGGTATGATGAATAACATTGTGAATGACTTGGCAATTTGATATAAATAAGTATATTTCGTTAAAAAATGGATTTTTTAAATATTTTTTATAGCAAACGCCAAGTTCTGTGCTATTTTCTCACCCAGTGAGCAGCCCGAAACCCAAAATACATTCGGGACATGGCTCATTCCAAGGTCATCAATTGGACAGCCAATGTAAAGTCTATTGCTCGTTTTTACAAACAGATTGTCATTTTCGCCTCACACTTGAAGATCAGTTTACACCGAATAGGAGACATTATGAAAAATTTCCTTGGCACGGTAAAATAAACAAAACAAAACACTATACTGCACCACACACAATAAACTCCTAAATTAAAAGGAAGTAAATATTGCCCCAGTGCTAGAGGCTAGCTAGTGCTGCCTCAGAGGAGGTCCTATGACAGATGTATTAAAGATAATGAATTATTGTCAGAACATATTCTGATTACATACGTTAATGCATGATGATGAAATGCATTAGATTCACTACTTAGATTTCTTGTGAAAAAATTATTGTTGGCCAGTCTAAACATTGATATTAATTATTTTGTGTCGATAACTTCCTTTATCTTAAGGGATATCAAATAATTGAAATAATGTTTGCTGAATATCACATGTCAGCAATACTTTTCCGTGTACGTACAAGTATGTCCCGTCAATTGTATATCGTACCCAAATGATGCTATAACACTACCGTCATCACCAAAAATTAATATAATAAAAAATAGTTCATGTTAGATAATATTCTCAGAATGCCAAGACTGTTCCTTACAATACGGATAAAAATAAAGAAAATATAATTTTAAGTATTCGTAAATTACATTGTATATTTACAAGGTAAATAATATAAAAATAGGAACAAATTTCCACGATTACACATTCGCATATTATTATACTTTTGATGTTTACGACCTATAAATTTTCTGGCTTGACCCTAACAAATGCTACCAAGAATGCTGCTATATGGAACATTTACCACTCAAATTCAAACATGAGTTTTGTATTTAAATAAGTGTTTTATTTTACTAGAATAGAAGTCTCTGAATTAAAAGAAAAAAACAACAATATTTTTCAGTCCTTACCTGTAAACAGTAATCCTGGGTAGGTACAGGTTCACCAGGTTCTTCCACTTCGATTATTTCTACCTCATTATCATCCATAGAACATCTCAATTCCTCGATGTCCTGAAGATTTTTTAGATTGACATCTGAAGCACCTGAGGAGACGTCAGGTTATAGCAAACAATATTTTGATGCACAATAATTGACTTGAAACGAGTTATATACAAATATTATTTCTTCAGTAGACAATGGCAAATGCACAATTTCGGAACAAACATTTTTTTAAAAACATTTTTTGCATGTATTTCATATGAATTTGCACATCCGCATTTACGTTTGAGGCGCATTCAGGACGTAAGTTTTTGAAATTCATCAACAAAAAACACAATTTCAGTGACACAAGTATTGTTGCAGAATCAAAACATATGTCGCAGTATTTTTCCGCATTAACACCTCCAGAATTGAGAAATTTGTCACAACATTGATCAACATTTCTCATGTCGTAGATGTCTGCCGCTTGGCATAGGTGTCGAACACTGGTAATTCATATCTCAGAAGGCACAATTTTATGACTCAGAGATACAAATGCTGATCCCACGGTATGACCAAGGCCTCAGTTCTGGTGGTAATTATGTGAGAAAACAGTGGATCATGTTCTGTATCAGTTACAATAATATTTTCCGTAAAAAATATGTTTTCTTTTTGTTGACGACCTGGGAAACTTATTTTCTGTATACATCTCGTATATGTGCGTTAGGCATGTAAATTACAAATTAAGCCATCAGCAAAAATTAAACTTGTCAATAGTATTCTTAATAACTTCTTGTAGTGGCTGATTCATTTGCATTTGTGCGTGCCGGTAACAACTGCCAAAAATATCTACAAGATTTCAATGCATTATTCACGAGTGGATTAATGCACATGAAGATTAAGCACGTCATTAGAGCCCTCCCTAAAGATTGACCCCCCAATTATTTTAAAACCAACATTTAAATATTTGTAGTTACTATTTTGGTATTTATAAAGGTTTTTCAATACATTTATTTAATTCACTTTAAAAAATTTTGTAACTAAAAATATAAATAAGTGGAAATATATAAACACAGAACTCCATATTCAAGAATTATACGAAAGAGGTTCCCTTTCCTCACCAGGAAATACGCGCCGCGGGACGAGAGAATAAGCACTGATAACGTGTTATGAAAACCTTCCGGGTACACCTTCGGTGCAAGACGTGGGCTCAGGAATATACCGCTCGTTTCGTACGTCGCGGGAGATAAGAGCTGGAAACAGAGTAAAGCTTGAGGAGTGGCAGAGGGCACTAATTTTAATTAATGTTTTCGTTGAAAAATAAACCATTATTATTATTATTATTATTATTATTATTATTATTATTATTATTATTATTATTATTATTGCATGATAATTCTAAGCTCTTATATGCTGGTGTGAACCTCTTCTGATCTCTACCCGAGATCTCATGATTTTCGAATTGAAGTTATGAATAGCCTTTTGAGTGTATGTGGGCCGTATATCCGTATATCGCCTAATATACTACTTACGTAATACAGAGAATGTTATAGCAAACATGTGTTAGCTCTGCGGCGAAAAACGGTGACTTTCACCACAAAAAATCGAACTGTAAAAAACGTAAGCAATTCGTTGGAAATGTACAACATTTAGCGGTTAGTTTCATTAAAACGACTGAAGTTAATATAATTGTTTCGCAGATTCAAAGACTTCATATTACGTGTCATGAATGGCGAAGAAACATTCGTCGTATATTCATTTCCCCATTATTAAAAGTTCTCGTTGCTTGAAAGTTTTACGTTCCTTTCGGATATTTTTCATAAATATTTACCTTCATTCATTGTTCATGACAGTTTTATTACTTTTAATTATTGAATGTGGTCTATGAATAATGCCATTTCAATTCCTGTATAATGGAATTAATAATGTGGTTAACGAGTGAATTTATGTGAAATTTTGTTCATAATTGACGACTAATACTTTCATACCATTAATATTATAACAAGTTAACACCGTCAAAATAAAATTGTCAGTTTTGATGTTAAATGATAAATATTGCAAAACATAGATGCAAAGTCGTAACTTAAACGCGAGGCTCACTCGCACATACAGACACTCTGCGAGCCCATAAGTCAAACGGACCTTCTTGTAAGAAAAATATTGGTGTATAAGCTGTTTGATCAAGAAAACAGGAAATAGTTGGCGCAAAAGTTGCCATTCAATAAACAGAGCTCTTAAAACGCCTGCATAAGAAATGCCTATGAAATACGAGCGTTTATAAATTACTACTTATTTTGGGACTTATTGCTTAAAAGTCCTCGTATTCCTTACTTATTCCGTGTCAACTTAAAATTCGTTTTCTTTAAAACAAATCATGTAGGAAATATATATATATATATATATATATATATATATATATATATATATATATATTTACTCTATATGGTTAAATAACTCCTAAAGAAAGAGTTCTAGGGCATTAAATACTAAAATATTGAGGCCAAAAGGCTCAGAAAGAAAAATTAACCAAGAAATAAACTAGTGGCGCTACAGAATAGCACAGACGTTTCCGAATTAGTTTTCTGTTTCCTTTGGTCTCGGCTCGCACTTGCCACGTATTCTAGCCAGCTTCCATCTATCGCCGCTCAAAGTATGTTTCTTTGACATATTCTAAGTTTTTCGGTTTCCTAATTGTAGAGCGAAAAATATTATTTTAAGTTTATTAAACTATACATAATTTTTTTGAGTTTTCGAAAAGCTTCATTTGAAGTAATTGTAAGTACTTTACCTCACAAATTCAGTTGTGATTACAAATTGCTGGAAATGTATCATATCCTCGGCGTGAGAAATCTTTCAAGAAAATTACATTTTTGTAATTTTTGATAAAACAAAAAAATACGCCGAAATGAACTTCACGTTTTATTAAAGAGTGGAATTAGCACTATCCGTTCGAAATGTTTGAAGAAAAAAATTGGAGCCATTTTTCAGGAAATGGCGTTTGAGTGTTTCTGAAAATGCGGAGTTTTGAGCTAGTTTTCACAGAAAACGGTATAGTTTTTGAGAAACTTTATATTAAATTATTTACAGTGAATGTACTCATAAATACAATCATGTGAACAAATTGCCGCTAGTATAAATATTAACGACATGAGAGACAAGTAAACCAATTACACATTTGTATGTTTTGTAAAAGCAAAAGAATAATGCAATATGGCGTTTATGGCATCTCCTGACTAATATGTATGCTCCCCTCGCAATTCAGATCTGCACGAGTGTTAAGTTTAGAAGCATTTATTTTAAGCAGGAGTTTTGTGGCGCGAGGAAGCTTTAGCTCCCCGCCTCTCAAATCTCGAATGCATTGGCGTGTAACTTGAGAGTCTCGCACAGAACACTAACACGTCGACAGTTTCATCGCGTCGTGCAACTTCAAAGCAGTAATTAACAATTGAATGAGTGAAAAACACAACGGTATAAGTGACATTTTATAAATTGTGAGAAAAATATGTTTATTTTTAGTCTTTATTGCAGTGGCAATGTATTTTCGTGGTTTTAATGAACCGTTGAAATTTCGTGGTTTTAATGACGAAACAAAGCACCACGACTTTACAGTAATATTGACTTAAACAGATTTCTTTGAATTTTTAAAATGTCACTTACACTGTTCTGGTTTTCACCCATTCAAATATAAATATGCTTGGGAGGGTGACGGTCGAGGAACCCCGGTTACTGACGGCGCCGAGCCCCTGGTCGAAGGGATAAAAGGCAATTACAAAAACACACTTCACGCACAGCAACGTGCGATCTGTTTTGTGCATCATGCAGCTTAATAGTATTGGTGGTTCCAGTGTGTGCTGGTGGGCAATATTTTACATTATGCTCGTTCTCCCGGCTACGATTGTTGTGGTACGCAGTTCATGTCTCTGGAGTGGTTAGGAAACCTTACTCCACAACGCAGCGCAGTGCAATACATCGTTAAACACAATATACAACCGCATTATTAGTGTTCACAGGGTCAGTATATTTTCCGTCATTCTTTTTCAGGTGCCATAACCACTGTAAAAAATTAATTTTATTAAAAATGTATTCAAAGTGATTCTCTAAGCTTAAACAATGTCCTGTGAGCCGATCCGGTTGCCGAGATCGCTAAGGCAGTAGTGCAGTAGCGAACTCGGACCGAAGGATCGCGGGTTCGAGTCCCGCGTCGGGCATAGTTGTATTGTGTTCGTACTTTACCCCCTATCATCATCATTATCGTGTCATCCCCACAGTTACCATACCGTTACAAGCAATAGTGGTCGCTAATGACCTAGTAGTTGATTCGACCTTAAATAACAAAAAAAAAAAAAATCCCGTGTTTGTTTGGACCGGCGTTCAACTGAGTCCCGCAGAGCATTAGGCATATTCGTTATACAGTCTACAATAACTCCTACATCGAACGGCCTGGACAATTGGTCTTGATAATCTGGTCGTGTACTTCACTTTGGACGCTGTCCTTTCTCTTTCCCCAGGAGAAACGGAATGAATGATGTCGCTGGCACGCTCCCTGAGCGATAGTCAGTGTTTAACCGCATTTGCTCTTCGGCGTTATAACTGATAGTTAAGAAGTAAGCTCTACTGAAAAGGATTGTAGGATTACAGCTATAATAATTATGAATGATCTAAATTAGGATTGCGTCTTGTCTTGTGCGATCGATTTTCTATTCAGATTTCGTCGTAGAACAGCATTTCTCATACTATTTTGCGCACACAATTCAGTTGCGCCTTTCATTGAAAGTGGAATAAATAATGCATTTTAGATATTTATTAGAAACGTTTGTGCGTCAAAATGGCGTCAAATGATCCGGTGATCTCCACATTCGTTAGCCGTCGTTGCCTAGGCCCACCCCGATGGCAGAGTGATATCGCTATCGTTCATTCTCGATAATGGCCGTACAGGAACTCGAATTCTCAGAAATAGCGGCGTCGACACGCTGGTCTCGTCGCCGACAACGATCGGAACAGGGTGTCTTTTGCCCGGCTATACAGGGCAGTGCAATTATGTAATTGCGCAATGATATTCAGTTCTAGGTTAATTTTATTTCAAATTTATATAATTCGTTCCATCATTATACCTAATTTCTTTTTATTATTATTGTTATTATTATTATTGCTTTTATTGCATTTATTGTGTTTATTATACTTATTAAAACTATTAGTAATATTATTGTTTTTGTTTTATATTAGTTTATTATTTTAATCATTGTAATTAACTCCCATCGGAACTTACTCAATTGTAATTCAAGTAAAATACAATGAACTCTAATCCATGTGGTGGATTCTGACAGGAAGAGGTTCATCCGTTCACAACATGCAAGTATCATATTCTGGAAATGTTTGTAATGGTTGGTAAACAATTCTGCTCACATGGCATACTAATACTCATATGATGTGCTATATTAATTTGTTATTGTTCACTGAATAATTTGTTTTAAGAAATATGTAATATTTAAAATAGATATATTTTGTAAAATTGAGAAGAGCAAAAAATTCTTACCTTGGCTAATTTTATGATTATGTGGATCGATCTGTTCTGCTGATGTGAAAGTCTCAGATTCTTCAACACAGTCTTCTTTATCAACATTATTATCAATATCTGATTTTATATTCCTTGGTCTACTTTCATCTTCAGTTTCAACATTCAATCCATTTGTGGCAGGTATAGGCATATGTACACTATCATGGAGGATTTCTTTCTCAATAATGTCATATTCGGCACTCGAAAAGTACTTATTTTCGAGCTGAAATGAATTTTTAGTCCTGTTAGAATTAATAAATGAAGTTATAGGTTCTTTACTAGATACAATGTCACTGTTATTTATCAACTCAAACTTTGATGATTTCAATTCGTCTATGTTATGTACATTACACTTCGATGCTAATGTTTCTTTCGCACTTCGCACTTGGACGGATTGTTCACATGAATGCGAGTCAGAAGAAGGAGCCTTGACCGCTGGCTTATGTACTTGCTGAATTTGAACACTTTGATTTTCAACCCATTTGCGTATCATACTTTCTTTGTGACTATCCATAAAACCGTAGCCGACACCACAATGTTCATTCATCTGTTGCATTGGTCCATCTATCCAAGTTTCTTTTTTCTTGTGATTGTCTTTGAGTAAGTTTCTGGCTTCCGCTACCTTGGATTTGGAAATTCTCGGACCATCAATCCATTGTTCATCACTTCCTGATATCGTACCATTTAAATTACTGCTTGATTTTGGAATTTTGCCAACCGAGGTTAAAAGCGGATCACTTCCATTACCTGATGATTTACTTACAGCTACCTTGTTTTGTAAACGTACGGGTGATGTTTTATTACTGCACTGATGCCCTGTAGAGCCTGTTTTACTTGATTCACTTTGCACGCTTGCTTTCGATGGGGCATTACAATATGAGTAATTACTTTGGTCTTCTAGACAACCACCGAATGTTTTTTGCATTAGTACTCCTTTCCCTACTTCTCCTTGTAAAGATTTATCCAAGAGATTTCGAGGACAGCCAAACATGGATCTGTGTTCTGCACATGAGCTGGGAAACGCTCTTCCTATGGCACAACGGTAGTCTCCCGAGTTAAGGCTTGGTATGTACACCGGGGGATGCTCCCCGTCAGTGGCGTCATCAGACGGCCCCACGTAAATGACTGTATCCGCAGACTGCTCGCTGCTCGATGGCTCCACGTCGCTGCTGCCGGTCGAGCACTCGTTTTCTTGCATTTGCAGGCGGACCGCTTCTTCGCCCGAGCTTCCGCCTGACCCGGAAGAACCACTCCACAACTGAAACAAATTCATTATCGAATTAAGTACCTTCACAATTGCGTTATGAAACATTATTGCATTGTACTAAACTAAAATGCACTAGGACAGGGTAGAAATACTTGGTATTATATACTAATTCAAAAATTCGTTTTTAGTGTCTCGTCTACTATGTATTATTGATTAAAATATTTATTTTTACGAATAGCATGACAGTTCGCAAATCAGACTCATCAGCCTTTTTGTCTAATGTTCTACAGACTGGAATTCAACCTCACCTCCCAATGTTACCCTGCTTGCGAATTGCAGTAGAAGGGAATATTCACTGAAATTCATTTAGTGGTTGGTCTGTCTAATTCTGGCCTTCGCCTCTGTGGCCTGTATTTCAATGTAGACGTGCTGCTCGTAATTTCCATATGATAGAGTAACACATATGATGGTGATGCGCAAAATAAACGGACTTAAGATTTGGATTAAATGTGGAGTACGTAAGTTCACATTTGTGATATGTGCGCTAGTATTTTTTCCATCATTTTCAAATTTCGTTTGTTCATAATCAATAAAATGAAATTTCAAATGTAAAAATTTCATTTTATTGGATAGTTTTAACAAATAAAATTAAAATGTCAAAATCAAAATAATAGCTTTAATAACCTAATAAATATAAAATAAGAGTTAATGACAATTCAAACGAAACACAAATACTTCAACAATATTTTTGAAATTAGGTTTTATTTTCATAGAATTTCATTTGAGGCACGACAATGGATTTCTTTACTTAAGAGACGTCGTCACACTATTAGTATAACCATTACACGTCACGGTGTCCTATTATTAGTATAAAACTTTTGTGATTTTTTGAAGTGTTTAGTTTTGTAACATCAAACAATAATGAGGAACCTGTTGGGCTTCCCTTATTTCTATTTATCTAAAGAATGATTGTATTTTTTTATGAATGTGATACTTGTTTAAATGTTGACTGAAAGGTATTCTGCTGTCTTATTTATTTGTATACCAGTATTTTAAGTTGTTATTGTATGAAAACAATCCCTGTAAAACAGTTATGCTGGTCTGTGGAAATAAATAAATAAACAAATAATATAATTTTGTTATTCATGATATCCATTATTGTGTGCCATAACTTCCGATGAGTTGATTAATCAGCCAATGAATTGATTGATCACCATTTCTCATAAAGCGTCATGCTCTCGAGAGATCGTGGTGCGGTTGTTGTAAAGAATGATTAATCGACGCTGATGAATAATTCATGGGCGTTAATGAATTATTCTGAATCATAGTGTACACTGCGGTCTCTCCTTGCCTTCCATGACTGTGTTACAATGTCAATGCACTCTCTCGATCTTGTGCTCGACCTCTCGTATTGAAACGCTGATTCAACTTTCTGAGTTACTGAGAATGATTACGAATAATTCAAGCTGAAGTATTCCGAGGACCTCTTTTATTAACACCATCTTCACAATAAGATGTAGAACCACTTTTAGCCTATAGAATTGTGGTCATAGTTTGTTTCGAAATATTAATATTTTTTTGGGAATTTTGAGTCAAATCGTGAAATTTTCAAAAATACGCACGCAAGATTTTCTCGGAAAGGACTTCAATTTTTTCTTTTAAGTTTTAGAACCAAGGGAGAACACATAACTGAATTCATAACAAGTGTTATTTATATTAAATTTGAATTTTTTCAAAAATTGAGGCGCTTGAGATTAGACAATGCTAAGCCTCTCAATAAGCAAAATGTCTTTCTTATTTCTAAAAGATGTTGGCAAACCTCTCACAAAGTCGTGTAGTACAATACAGCAATGCGTGGAGTACCTTTAAATTAAAGAAGTATAATTTTTATGCTGGTCGCTTGATTTACAGATTTCTTTGAAATTTCAATACTTTTCTAGTAAAAGCCACTTAAAGTGGCTTACTATTATCTAATATTAAGCAAGAACCACAATTACAGAAAAGTTACAGGGGCTGGGTTCTCGGGGGTAAACGATCATAATTTCTAACAAAATTACAAGAAATCACTCACTCTTTTTTACACAGTACAACAACTCCCTACACCCCAACATAAAATTCCACACCACTGAGATAGAAAACGAACCAAAAACTTCAAACTTCTTTGATCTCACCATCACTCTAGCACAGGATCATCATGAATTTAACATATTCAGAAAACCCACCCACACGGACACAATCATACACTTCACAACACCCCCCCCCACAAGCAAACACACAGCCTTCCATGCGATGGTGCATCGGTTAATTTCAATACCCATGTCTCCAGAAAACACAAAAAAGGAAATAAACACCATAAAACATATAGCCAGAATGAATGGATACGACTGTAACATTATTGACAAATTAATAATTAAAAAACAAACACACTCAATATCCGCAAATACACCAGCCTCACACCAATTGACAGAAGCACTACAGCCACGTACTTTACAATCCCTTATGTAGTACCCCTTTCTCTTAAAATAGCCGCCATACTCAATAAATTCTATCTCAAAACTTCTTTCAAAACACTTATACATTATATAAAACACTATCCAACACTAAAGACCCAATCCCACCTACATCCTTATGCGGAGTCTATGCTCTCACTTGCAACAATTGCAATGCCATATACATAGGACAAACAGGCCGAAAATTCACACAGAGAATCAGAGAATGCGAACATGCATGAAAAAAACACACTACCACAATCTCACACTTTGCGGATCACCTAAATTTAAACAAACACACATTTGATAAACACACAAATTTCTGAACTCTAGAAATTGAAAACAAGTACTGGAACAGAATAAAATTAGAATCCCTACATGTACACAGCACATGTACACAGCCTCTTCTCAAGCCTCCACCGGCACCCCCGCGTCTTACGACCCTTCTCCCGCACCCCACCCCTCTTCCCGCCAGCACCCGCTGCCGACAGGCTCTGTTCTTAAACAAGACACACTCTCAAAAATTCGCAGAACTTAGTTTTCGGCCCGGAAGCTGCAAGGTATGTACGGCCCAGTTTGCTTCCGCATCTGGCATGCAATGTCTACACTCTGTATATAATATTTGTATTAACTTATCCCTAATTGTTTATTAATATCATTTATTTCAAATTTTCGCTCTGAGGATGATCGCTACGCGATCGAAACAATTATCAGCCAAATAAATTGTTGATACCAGACATCTTTTATTTATCATACTTAAATAATACAAGGTATCTACCTCACCAGCGATCTAATTAATAAAAAAACTTCTCGCGTTAGAAAAATGTACATAACATCTTGTAAAGATGTAATATTGAAGAACATGAGAATTTTTCATTAAGAAACAAATGTCTATATTCAATAAAGTCGGTGTAGGAGGGGATCAACACGTTTTGGAACTTTTGAAATTTTTAAAATTTCAGAATATTTCAAGAAAATTGAACTTGTACCATTTAAGCGCAGTTTCTACTACTTAAGCAAAATATGTTTTACAAAAATATTAATTTTTGAGAAACTTTTGAAACTGGAATAGGGGCTTCTTGTTAAGTTCCCTCCCCCCTAAAAAATTAAAGACACGTGTCCCATTCGAGAACATTAATTTTGATGAAATTATGTATGCGGTTTAGAAGTTAGTGTTGTTCGCACACATGGGAACTGACGGACAGACATGTTTTCAGAACACTTTCGTTGTCAAGGACCCATAAAATGTGGATTCCGACCGCAAAGAGTGTTTAAAATTTTCCCCGTGTAGTAGCAAGAAACATTCAGATTTTTGGTATTAGAAATTTAGAAAACATGTTTTTGCCGAAAAATCGATACTTTTTCTTTCTGCATTCTTTTTCTCTTTCCACGAAGTAGATTCAAAAAGTAAAAACGAAGATATTAAGTTTGTTTCTATAATTTTATGACTGAAACAATTTTTTATATTGTAATAAATCGAAAACACTCGTCGTTTTCGATTTATGTATATATTATATGTATATATAGTTTTCGTATTTAATGATTCTTGTCAGTACGTACCTTTATTTTACGCCGTCTCATGCGATGAATACGAGATGCCAGCTGCACTGTTGCAAGCGTATCCGTGTAATGTTGAGCGTAGGGTGAGACGTGAGCGATCATGGCAGCATGGCACGTCAAGGAACCCAAGCATTCCTTCAGCAGCTGTGTAACTTTGTGCTCTCTAAAAATCAGTAACAGGTCGATTGGTTTACTACACGCAATTTACGAAGAATACTTTGTACGTCATTCTAATTTAATAAGTGATTGTATATGAGACCGTTATTTTAAAAAAAATCTCAGAAACAAAAAAAGGCGTTTTTCTGTTGAAAAAGGCAATTTTCGCTGCAATATTACAATACTTTCTCTTTACTACGTAGGAAGTGTACGAGAAAATAACATTACAACTGTAAAAAACCTTATCAGAATAAATGTGACGAACTCGTAGGGTATGATGATGAATCGACGATGATATTATTAGTGAATGAAGATTTGGAAATGACTCAGTATCATTTGCTGTGTGATAAAAAAGCCCACTCTCAGGTTATGAAGATCATTATGTATTGTGGAGGGATGTCTTCGTGCTAACCACACGAATTCATTATCCCATGGCCGAGAGACTGGGCCACCGCTGGTCGGTCAAGGCCCATATCGAACTGTAAAGCCAAAGGACAGGACATCATTTTTAGTGAAATTAATATAATGATTTCACTCATTAACATTTATCTCTGGTTGTTAAGCAACCCCTTAATGCACTGGTTTTCGTGGGTCTGACGCAAAGAAATTTTGTGTACCTGCTGCACATCAGTGCAAAAATAGTTGCCTAACAATAAGGGGCAAATATCACCTACTAACTTCGTTACATGAGATTTACCACCAGATGTTTATTGCCAAAATATATTATTTTTGATTTTCATACATACCATAGATTTTAAACATTTATTTTGAAATACCAGTATTGCTATGATGAAGTCTCGCACCAATAATATGTACATGTGTTCAAAGCGAATTCATACAAATCATTTTTTTAGAATAACTACCAAATGAAACAAATAGAAACAATAATGCACATTAACACATATGTTGACAAGTTTTGTCATATGTGACTGTCACGTCATAGGTAAATGGAGGGAAATAACGAAGTAGGAAATATATACATCACATCTATTTGAAACCCTTGAAAAACGAACAGTTTTAAATATTTCCGTTTCCATTTTCTCGTTTTTATCATACACGTGAAGTAGTACACTTTTTACGGTGCGATGGGAAACCATATGAAAAAGATTATTGAAAATAATTTTATACTGCTCTTTTCTTGAAGAAAAAAGAGCAGTTATTCAACAATAGCATTGTACCATATTATAAACATACTTAGAACTAATAGAATAATTACATAATATAATAGAATTCATTATTATGTATGTCCAAAAATATTTCTGCCGGGATTTCACCCGAACGAAAACCTCGTTCATTTTCTTGGTTTTGAGCATAATTATGTCAATTGGCGCCCTAATCCTGTTTCTCAGATAGGTAGTGTAATTTTTCTAGTTTCCTAAAGATAAAGAGAGTCATCTAATGGAGGAAATATTAGCGACTGTATTGCCTCTCGAATAGCTGCGTCCGAAACCTTTCCTCGTTTTCAAAAAAATTAAAAAAATATTTCCAGTATATAACCGACTCGGGGGAACATGAAGGTAAGCGTTCTTGATGAAAGTGTTCTTCTTTTTTCCTGGGAGAGCTCAATCACACACACACGTAGCACAAGTTGTCTGCAGCAGGAATACAGTGTTTCAGAATCTCTATTTTGGGGTATAGCAATTTTTTCTTAGAGTCGTTCATATCTAAACTATTTTCGTATTATATTAAAATAGTAAATAAAGATTATTTGACGAATTATGTCTACTACATACTACTATTAGTAGTTACGCTGTCGTTCGAGATAAGTTTGCAAAACACTTGTTAGAGGAAAATAACAAACTCGAAGATTGGAAGTACAATACAACCTTCCAAATATTTTTGGACATCCATCTCTTAACTCTACAATTAGGAACTGTGGGGCGCGCGGCATCCTCGGCTTGCAAAAGAAAAGCGTCTGCCCCGTGCTCCTTCCTTTCGACGACGTAGCACAGGGAATACTTCGCGCTGCTAGCCTTGCGTATCGCTCGTTCGAGCTTGCATTTTTAGCAACTGGCCCTCAAAACACATTTGCATGTGCAGTTCAAGTCATTCAAAACGTGTGTTATCTTTCTTTTCAGTATCATCCTTAGGATTAACTCTAAGAAATAGATGACATCGTTTCTCATTCAAACTCAACACTCCTACCTACAAGATTTTCATGAACCGTTTGCTTCTATTTTAAGTGCACATGACTAACGCTGTTTCCGATCACAAGCAAACTCCTCATTACACAAAAATTAAGGCCTTTGAAAACGCAACTAGTTCATGCCACTGTTTGGAAGCGAGAAGAAGCAGAACTCTCCTCAGGTACTGGCTTTGGCGAAATTCAATTCATTTAAGGAGTGGAAGAATTCGGTTCATCCCCCCCATAAATATTTTTGAAATAGATTTTTTTAAATTGTTTTCATTGAATGAAAATATCCAAGTATAGTTGTAATGGGAATGCTGATTTGGATGTGATGTGTTCTGAATATGACAATTATATTGAACGAATTGAGTAAAATAATAAAAATAATTGGCTTTGGGGGTGGGACTGGATCTTCATGCGTCCTGCCTTTGGATCCCTCTACGAGACCGAAGAGCCACCGGCGCCCGCCCGCGCCACAGTTCTTAACTTCGTTGGATAATTTATATACATTTTGTAACCTGTATGGCAGATGCTTCTGTCCATTGAATATCGCAAGGAGAACATTTCCCAAACCGGATAATGGAATGCCGCTGCTGGTCTTCCCGCGCTCGCAGCTGCCCAAATCAATCAGATGGAGACGGCTGCGACCTCCTGCAACTGCACTCGGGAAGAGAGACAAATGGTGTATTATTTTTTTGCGTATTAGTATTTCTGTGGTGCTAACGCAGGATCTGATGTGACAAAAAAATTGATTTTTCAGGTGACGCTTTCCAAATTTCGTGTATTCGCCGAAATTCAGATTTAATTTATTATGGTGCGGTAAGTCCGTTAAAGAGTTTCAAAAGTAACACCCTTTTCCTTTCTGTCAGGACGCTGCAAAATTGTACTGGATAACCGAAATATCAATAATCAAATGAACAAATTCGATTTTTCGACTTATCGTGATCTGCGTTAGTACCACAGATTTTAAAGTAAATGTCATTAAAGGATGCTAATAAATATATATTATGCTACTTAGGAGAACATATAAGTATTTCCGGTGGTAGCGTTTTCCAAATACAATTATTAAAAATTCACAAAAGACCAAGCAAGCATTATAATAATTAAATGTCTACTCAATACCCGTTTACAGAATTAATATACACACTCTATCCTGTTAACACTGACATAATATAAAATAATAACAATAATATATCAATAAAATATATTGATTTAAAATAATCTTTTTGGTGCTCAAGAAGACAAGAAAAAGTTTATTTACTTCTGTCTGCAATATTATTTTTACCGAGCCCATTATATATCATAATTTTGAATTCCTATGGATACCTATGATGATGTCTTTCATTTTCTGCCACGTTTTTACATATTTCTGAGGACATATTTTCTGAATCTGCCGAAATAGTGTTTTTTCGTTCTTGAATTCATAGATAGGGAAGGATTGTTAATATATACAATCAGAAAAAATGAACAAACCATTAAGTTCTCTGAAAACCTTCGCCCCGCCCCTACAAGCACTGTGACTAATGGCGCCTTACTTTTCTCTATAGGTGTCTTAAAATAAAGGTCACAAGAATTGTAGGAGGGTTGAATGCAATAATTTCTTCCCAATGAATATATGGTGAAAACTTTCATATATCAAAGGTATACTGTATGTGAAATTTCCTCCTGACTGACAGGCTACTGACCGTTAAGGAGGTAATGTTCTGAAGCAAAGAGATACCTGATAGACATTCATGCATGATGAGTTGCCCACCATTCAGGATCATGTCCCATGCTCATTTTGTGAAATTTCTTATTTCATTTATAAAACACTTCGTAACTTCGATGAATGAGTACGTGAAGGAACAGTTCTTTGTATTTACGAAGAGATGCACTCTTCCACTCTCGGGAAGCGATCGTCAACTATCCGTTGTTTCGTAGATAATATGCAATCTCTCTCCTACATTATACTGTAGTTAGGATAATCGATAATGCTGATAATGCAAGATGAAGAATGGGCGATTTCAAAATAAAACAAATATGTGCAGTTAGAAATATAATACAACTTTCCTTTTGACTGAATGGCTATTCAAACTCGTCTATTCATGCAATCGTGCGCATATACAATGATTTTAAAATTTTATCATTTAAATTCATTGCCTAGCCCACCTTATTGTAAGAAAAAGTCATTGCCACAACTTTTATCCCAACCTTCATACATCGCCATTGAAATTCAAAAAAACACAAGATGGATTGGAAACGCATATTAAGAGCTTGAAAAGTCACAAGAACTTTAAAAAGTGAATTATTTCCTTCGTTTGAACAACGAGTATTTTTTATTTAATAGATACGCTGATTTTAAATTTAGCCGCTGTCAGGAGAAGAATTCTAGAGGCCGTCCGTGTTGATAGTTTTTCCTATCATTTCCACGGAATGCCGTAGCAGCTCCTTAACAAAAGGCCAAGGAATGCGCTAGAACACATAAACTCTTATACAATAGACTGTCACACGTGCAGGGAGCCTCAAACTTGTCCCGACTGGGCGGCATATCTGGAGGGAGAACCTCCTCCCCTGCAAATCGACGTGTATGTTGGTACCGGATTGCCACGTTTCAGCGCGGGAGGAACGCTGCTAACTCCAGCAATACAACATTCACCACACTTACGAGACTAACAACCATAGCAGTTGATACGGCCGAAGACACTAATCAGTCAATCAATTAATGAATCAAGACATCACGATGTCTCCCTTAAGGCTCCTCAACAGTGTGCCGAATATGAGGTAACATTGCGCTTTTTTTAGCGCAAATACGGCCTTGGGCTTTGAAAACACACTCAGAATTAAAGAAAATATATTCTGAAGAAATATGTGACATATCCGTTTAATATTTTTCTTTTATATAATTAAATAAATAAAAGGTGTTGTCCCGTATCAAAGGCATATTTTAACTTAAGATCTTTTCGATAGCGCAGCTATCATCATCAGAGCTATTTTTCAGCATCTGGGCGGAAAACGAAGTTTTTATTAATTATTAATATTAATATTTTCCTTTGGGTTTATTTCGATGGGTAGGCGTTGTCTGGCTATACTTCCGTTACACTACACAATACGTTCTAATAATAATCTACATTACGTTATGGCACATGGGTTTTGTCTCTAATATTTTATTCCATTACAGAAACTCATTATAAGGAAGCATAGAACCAACCATTTGTTTAGAATTTCACTATTCTTTATTTTACGACGAATTTAATTGATTTGTTGGCTTTTAATTCAACAACGAATGTGAAACTGCTCTAGAACGGTTGTTTATCACTGTGCATTCTACCTAAGCGAATGAGCTTACCTCCACCTTTTCCTCCCACACTGTACTGGTAAACGTGTAGAGTATATAGAAAATGGGAATCTTTTCCGTCCTCAGATGACCGGCTATTAAGAGCGGCGTCTAGATAAAGAGCTGCTTTCTCTGCACTAGGTACTCGTATTTCACTTTGATTCTGCAGTTGCGTTCCAAAGAGAGGATCATCTCGCAAATACACGCCAGACGATGGTTCTTTTTCTGGAAAAGAAGCAAGAAAATTAGTATTTCGTGTTTTTCTCTATTAGTGTGTCTATATACTTTTCCTATGATTGAGTCACAGATAATTTTCATAACACAAATTACCAAAAACTAAATCATAAAAATATTTACAAGGTTGTATTGAAAGATTGATCGTAGAAATGCAAATACTTGATTCAATTCAGCGAGAAGAAAAATACAATACAAAAATTGAATTTCGTTTTTGACGTAAGCAAATTTTGCAGCACTGTTGGTTTCTTCTGACCATTTATGCGTTTTTGAATTTTCTGCGAATCATTAAAATACAATTGATAAAATAGGTGTATTCAATACAGTTTGTTTTCAATCGATGCATTGAGGAGTTTCATGTTTAAGAATTTTCATATTAGAATGTTTTTTAACCTCAAGTACATGTTTCGTCTTGGAGCACTTGTTTAAAAAACAATTCGAAACTATGCGTAATCGCTTTGTGGAAACTCCGGAGTTCTCTTACAGCCAAGCCTGTACATAAACGCGTGGCAATCCTACTTCAGTATCTGTCAATGTAAAAAATAGTAACGAGTATTCTGAACAACTTTGTAAATTTTAAATTAGTTCTTCTACAAAAACACTTCATCGCTGCCATCTCTGTCTCTGCATAAAGATTCGCAAGTACAGAAAATGTAAATACAAAAATGAAAAGCCCTAGACACACCATAAAAACTGAAAATATTTTACCAATAACCTCTCAAAAATGCATGTAATATATTGATAAATGTATTTTCAATTAATTCTTTAATACATTTTCCCTTGACGTATTTTGCAATTTATTTCGTGGTCCGCCATGTCTTCGAGTACTAGAATTGCTCTGGAATGGGAGTGTTAAAAATGTGGGTGCCTAAAACATCTTATAAGTAATTTATAATTTGATCTTTTTTCTCGACTATCGTAAATTCATAACTATGAATATACATGTGTAACAGATACGTGAATATTCAACCTTTAACAATTATCCTCTCAATTCGTTTTTACAAGTCTGAGTACCCGTGGCCCTCTCGGTTACCTCATTCATGTGTAGAAAAATCACTGGCTCTTTTCTCATAGAGCTGAGAGATTTGGGGTTGTTAAGAATTTGGCTACTCAGTTGTCTAGTCCCACGTTGTAAATTTAAGACTTTCGCGATTCTCGATTTGCAGCACACGTCACCCAAATTCTATTTCATTAAGTTTGGTCGTTTAAAATTAGTCTTAAATTTTTCTATTGTTTATGTTTTAATTGCATATCCTGTATCGTGATGTGATTTCCAACACTTCCCGAATAAGAAGAAAGGGAAGAATCTAAGAGTTCATGAATAATAAATTCAAAAGAAGTTTCTATGAAAATGACCAGATAAAACAATACATGAATGGCACTCTGAGTAAACAATTTTAAATTCTAATTCATTCTTGTTGTTTTGTTGAGAATGCGCAAGAATAGTAAAAAATGCGTAAGAAACACCAAGTTAACAAATTTTACAATGCTACGAGTAAATATATTTTTATAAGAAACTTACCTGAGACGTAATCAGCTAAGAGGTCTCTTAGTTTATGAGAGGATCCTTCAATTTCCACTGCAGATACACGGACTGAGAAGCGCGCTCCGGTTTTGTGCTTCTGTTCATTAATGCCACAGAACAACCACGATATTGCGCAGGGGATGACCCCGAGCGTGTTCACAGATTGAGGACTGCCCAACATCGTGTATGTTTTCCCTGCAAGAACACAACATTACAGTGGTTTAAAATGAAATTATAGCAATAATGATTAGGGTACTTTTAATATAAATAATTTCAATCCTATTCTCGAATTTTCGACTCAAAAACTCATATTCTGGGACCCTGATATCGAAAAAATGGTTAAATCTTCTTATTCATAGTATTTTTTTTATATTTTCATTTCTCTAATCTTAAATTAGTTGAATTGCAAAATAGCATTAACTTTAGATTTGTTTTGTAATAAACCGTATATTTCATTAAGGACTGGTATACTGTTCGAGTGAAGATAATAATGATTATCCTAGCATTATATCTTTGTTTTACAGACGTCACAAATTTGAAAAAGATGCATTTAATATAATGGGCCAAATATAAAATTACCTTTTTTAAAAGACGTTGAGACCCCTCCTCCTTTTTTCTGGTCTCAACAGCTGGGAAGCTACATTTGTAACTACTGATACACAATGACGGCCCATAACACCATAATACAACCAGAATTTAATAAAATGGTATCTGTAGAGACTATATGCTTCACTAGAAACTTAATGCATTCCAACAATTACATGAATGCGGCTTAAGTGTAGTCGTTTATCCTGGTCTATTTATAAAAAATGTTTTTCAAAAATCCTTGTTTTGCGTTTGAAATTGGCGCTGAGAAAATATCAGAAACTGTTTTTTGATAGTATGAAATATTTTCTTATATTTCATATTTTTTCAATCGCATAAAATACTGTTAAGTTGACGACAAAAATTAAAAAACACGTATTTGGCTATAGAGGGCTGTGAGTTGTGAGGGGGGGTTAGAAATCTATCAAAAATACATTTTTGTGATAGATTTATTGTATAACTACTCGTATGTCATTTGGTTGAACTTTTTTTCATATTATCCGGGGATTCCCTTTGTATTTCAGTTAACAATTCTGTATAGACCTGTGACCGGCTAAATAAAGGTTCTATGGATCACCGAAAGCCATATTACAAAAAGTAAATTGCATGAGATAGTTCTTAAACAAAAACACTATTGCCGCTCTCACGGCAATATTTAATGCAATCTTACGCCTAAATCACTTCCCA